GAAGCATCTTGCATGAGAAGCTCGCATAGAACAGTCTTCTGCATTCCTGCTGCTCAGTATCCAAGACTGTCAACCAGAAGCATGCATACAAGTAAAAAATCTATGTTTGAGAAAAAAATATACATGCATGGGTGTCTGCAATGGGACAGAAATGATGAAATGTGTGTGATGAGGTCACTTAGATTCCTATACGATGCAGTTTCTCTTTTGCATACAACTTTGCCCCCGTTCCTCTGTCCAAAATTTTGACTCATCCTGGAAGGACAAATGGATTAGTGTTGCCATGAGGACTGAGACATGTCAGATTTGCCCTTTGCCTTGGAACAAAGCATTCAGCTTCAGTCGCTTTCACTGTACGGACGCAATAAAGATATCTTGCTTTTCTACATTAAATACTTGGACAATGGTGTTACCAGCCAAAAGAACCCACTTTTGTATTAAAATTGACTGGACTGGCAAGCATCTTCCAAAGTCGAGATGTATACCCTTCTGTCTGAGCATCCTGCTCTCTCTTTCACACACACTACTGCAGGCTGCAGATTTTTTATCAGTTATGTAATTAGTAGCCGCCATTCAGCAATGTGTGTGTATGTACCATGTCTGTATGCGCAATTCTTGCTGTGTTGTGCTGCTGGGTGGGTGTTTGCATTTATTCATCTTGTTCCTCCAGCAGATTTTCAGGATTGTTCTCATGGATTAGTTGCCATGCAACAAGTGCACAGTCATACGGCTCGTGATCATCTGCCTTCCCTGTGGTAATCTGAGTAATGTTAAAATAAAGATGTGGTTTGCTTATAGAGTGGCTGGGTGACTTGTTTAACATCTGTGTGAAGACGGCATCTGTGCCTGACAATTGGAAGATCGCCATTATTGTTCCCCTGTACAAAGGGAAAGGTAGCAAGAATGAATGCAAAAACTTGGGAAGGGGTGCGTGGGTGGGTATTAGTTTATTAAGTATGTTTGGGAAGATGTTTGGCAGAATTCTGGCCGAAAAGATGCAAAAGGTGACAAGGAACAACACTGGGGAAGTGCTGGGTGGCTTTATGCGTGTACCTTTTTTATATAGTTGACAGCGTGCTGCTGTCTGAGAATACAAATGACTTGCAGCAAAAGTCAAATAGGTTACATGGTGCAACAAGAAAGGTGGATTTGGAAATGAATGAATCAAACCCAAGGAAGTTTTGTTTGACTGAAAAAAGTTACAAGTTATACATAAATGGCAGAAAAAGCTAGAGCAAGCTGATAAATATGTGTACATTAATGAAGTGTTTACTAAAACAGGGAAACAGGTAAGAGAATTTTAAGATGTGCAAATGCTGGTCAAAAGGTGGTGGTCTATTGAGAGGAATGAATGTTGGTCAAAAGAAGTGAACATCGCTGTGTTAAGAACAGGCTTCTACTCAGCTTACTTCATGGAAATGAGAGTTGGATTTGCCAGGAAAAACACAGAATTGAACGTTGTGGGAATGGGAGCTTAAGTGTGTATGGGAGACAAGAAGCAATAGGGTCAAAATGGATGCTGAGTGAATGTGGACTGAATATAAAAGTGAGTGACTAGTACAAAAGAGAGCATTTCAGTCATACAGAGAGAATGCATAAGGATCATACTGCAAAACAAGTATTAGTGAAGGAAGAATGAATGGGTCAAGGGAAGGGGAAGACTGAGAAACTCATGGATAGACTTGATGCAATTCTCAAAGAGAGAGGTGAGAAATTTAAAGGTAATCTATCAAGTGATATATGGATGTGATGAAACCAAAAATAGTTTGCAAGGATAGAAAGATCTGAAGAGGTATAGTGAATGGTAACAATGTAAATTAGATTTAGCAATGATTCCTTTTCTTTTTCTCATCTCATGCCTTCATTTCTTTGGCTCACTATTAATGCTTTTCTGCACTTTGCATAACAATGCTTACCCTAAAAGGCATGATAGGTATGTATGAATGCACGTATGTTGACGGTGCCACCAAATCAGTGTTGATTCAATATAGATTTTTTTCCAGGACAATCATCCTCAACCTGGTCCTTCAGGTCTTCAGCATCACCACTGTAACTGAGTCCACCCAGTTGATGCTGGTCGTCTTCTTTTCTTTTCTTCCACCTTTCCCAGCATTATGGATTTCTCAAGGGAGCTGAGTCTTCACATAATGTACCCAAAGTAGGATAATCTGAGCCTAGTCATTTTGTGCCTCAAGTAAGAACTCTGGGTTGATTTATTCAATGACCCATTTGTTGGTTTTCTTGGCTATCTGTGGTATTCTCAGCAATCTTATCCAGCACCAAAGTTCAAAAGTATCTATGCTCTTTTTACCCTCCTTCTTCAAAGTTCAATGAATATATGTAGAATTATCTGAAAGACAAAAGGAAGCACATTGGCTTTGTGTGGCTTTGAACAGGCCCTTCCCCCAACTGTAAAATGGCTCTCTACCCTGCTTGAGATTAGGGTTACAAGATAAAAAGCTTCTTTTTCTCTTTGTCAACTGCAACACTGTAGTGCCCTCCCATGGCCAGTTTATATATCACACTTTGCAGCAGCTCTATACAGTAATTGATTTAAATCTGAAATGTCCTCCAATGGCCATGCTAGTTGGGGAAATATTAGTTATAATCCAACATATCTGAATGGCACCAAGCTGGGAAAGGTGGTTTAAGCTGAGAGAGAAATAGCAATCAAACAGTGGAAGCTCCCCGTTCAGACTGAATGCATACACTGTCAAGACAAGCCCTCCCATTCATCTTGGTTTATTTCTTTACCTTTTTGAAGCTGAGATACAGACCAGAAATGGTGTAGCAAGAGGGAAAAGAGAAAGAAAAGATTTAGGTAGCACCTCAGATAGCAACATTTTTTGAACCAATACCATGCAGGGGTATTACTCAAAGCTTTGGTTTCTATGTTAAATGCATTAAGATGTCAATGGAAGATTGTACACTCATCTGTCTGACACAGCGATCCCAGTATAGGCATTAGAAGAGATTGTGCTGATCCAGAAAACAGTTTTATACCATTAGACTCATCAGGACTCAAAAACGGATAATGTTTAACATAGCTGAACTCAGCTCAGATGTATCTGAGGTGATAATAATGAAGTGAATAAGCAAATGGAAACTGCATTCTGCTTCCATCCAAGCCATTCATGAAATACCTGATGTTAAGGACAGGGGCCTCTTTGTCACGTTCTTGGCAGGCTCAATCACATATATTAATCAGTGGTAGGTAGATCAGTGCAAAATATAAAAACAAAATAAAAAACTGATGTTTGCACGTGACACATTTAATATGTTGTGTATATCCAGCTTGGGTGGCTAGTCTTTGATTTACTGTGTTGTAAGAAGTTAATTGGGTTAATTGAATAAAGCACGGTTAGGTTAGTCATAGGTATGTCATGCAAATACATCCAGTATAAAAAACAACAATGAAAAATAGAATATGATAAAACAGTAATGGTTCTAAAAAAGAGTAACGTCATAAGTGCTGTGACATTCCAAAAGCAGCATAAGCAGTTTTCAAAACCACCAAGAACCTCTTTTGGTAGAAATTGTCAATGAGCAGAAACCCATTTTGAATAACAGGCCAGCCGTTGCTTATCAGGAATAGAGTCAAGGTGTAACATTTCTCTATGGTTGTATTTGAGCCTTTTTACATACATTGGGGTTCTCTCTTTCCACAAAGTATTTTATCCAGGCTGCGCCCTAAGTGAGCATTTCACCATCCTGCCTCAGTGACCTTAGTGGGGTTGTTTTTGTTTTGTTTTTTTGGTGCCTTCGAGTCAGCTTTTGATTCTTGGTGACGGCCTGGACAAGTCCCTGCAGTTTTCTTGGCAACATTATCAGAAGTGGTTTGCCATTGCCTCCTTCCTTGGGGCTGAGAGAGAGTGACTGGCCCAAGGTGACCTGGCTGGCTTTTTGCCTAAGGCAGGACTAGAACTCACAGTCTCCCAGTTTCTAGCCTGGGGCCTTAACCACTACACCAAACAGGCTCTCTCAGTGGGATTTACTTTCACACAAATCTGACAGCAGCTCCATGGGAAGTTAACCGGACTTCACCAAACTCCAAACAGCGTATCTTCCAATTATTATACAAAAGCTACCAAGTGTCAAAGCTTCCCTATGTGCTCCTGCAGTGAATTGTGTTAATTTGCTCAGCAGTAACTTTTTCTCCATTCATTTGATAGTAAAAGACGATATTAGTGCCTTTAAGAAATGTTGGAAGGGAGTATAATGTCCTGGTGTTATGCCCTCATAATGTGTGACATTGCAGGCTGGACACAGGAGGCTGCCTAACTGCAATCTTGTTGGTGTCTCTCCATGGGCTTCCTCCCAGATCAGTGCCAACTGGATTGTAGCCATAATATTGTTCTGGGTGCATCTGTACAGTGTATGAAAGAGTGCAAGAACTATTCTTCTGTCCACTGAGACATGCAAGGGACTGTTACGCATTTAGGGGCTGTTGTGTGTGCCACTAACGCCTACCGGCCCACTGCAGCTGCTGCAGGTTCGGATTGTTTCAGCACTTTCACCACAACAGAGCAGAGACATCTGCAGAATATTTTATGAATAAAACGTCATTTCGGTACATTATGCCGAAAGATCGACAAGGAGAGGGGGAAAGCACTGGGGACAGGCAGGACAATAAGCGCTGCGGAGGCCAACGAAGACTGTTAGTTCTAGGTAATAATGGACTACAACTCCCATTATCCTTATGCCATTCCTCTCTCTAAGGGGGTGATGGCAGCTGCAGTCCAGCACAACTGGATGACGGCTGCTCTGCTAAATGTGGTGAGACTCGAACTTTACAAGCCTATTTCTCTGCCTCCCTGCAGCACCGAACATTTTTCCCCGCGTTGCATCGCCACGAGTCCCTCCCGTTCTAGCCAGACCTGCTCCTACAACACCCAACATCCCCGCGCCTCTTCCGGCCGCCGGTTCGGCAACGTAATAAAGACGCGCGAAAGTCGGCTTTTCCTTGACAAGCCTGCGTTTCCCAACAAGCGGCGGGAAGCAGTGATGCAGAATAGCTGCGACCGCCGCAGCAACCGCGCCAACAGCTACTGCAGTTCCGACTTCTGCGGTGGCTGCCGCCGCCGCCGCGTTACATCCTGCCGGGAGTGGAAGGGCAGCGCGGCCCCGGGGACCCGGCGGGGGGATGGCGGAGCCCGGAGGGGCATCCTCAGGTGCGGGTGGAGCCGGCGGGAACTCCGCGGGGCCCGGCGGGACCGATCCGGCCTCGCTGCCCCCCGGCGACGCGCAGCTCATCGCCCTCATCGTGGGACAGCTCAAGAGCCGCGGCCTCTTCGACGCGTTCCGCCGGGACTGCCTGGCCGACGTCGATACCAAGGTAGCGCCTCACTTTGCCTGCGCTACACGATCCCTCTGCTGTCATCCTGGGAAACTTAACACCCCCACCCCCACCATAATTTGGAGGGAAAAAAAGCTCCTGGGGTGGGATGTCCAGAGAAGCTTCGAAACCCCAGTGAGTCCGTCCTGTGGGGTACTTCCAACCCAGGGACAGCTGCTATTCTGCTGCGGGGCGATGGAGGGAACGATAGCAACTTCCATTTGTAAATCTTCCATGTTTTTTCGCCCTTTCCACCTTTTTCTTCTCATTCCTCCCAAAACAGTAAATCCAGGTCTTTTGCGGGGGAGGGGGGGGGGCTAGGAGCTATCCGTCCAGAAGCAGCCCTGTCCCCTAGACTGGGGCTGCACTAGGTGCGGTGATCCGGATTTGAAGGGGAAAAGGAAGCTCTGGTCGCCTCTGCCAGCAACAAAGGAGCTGCATTTTTAGCTGGGCTTGCGTTTGAATTGAATGTGAGCACCTTTTCTCCTTCACATCTGGACTGATTACTGCACAGCCCTACTCTATTTTTCAACCTGTGCAGGACTAGTCTAGATGGGGCACTTGCAAATGGAAAGAGAAAAAAAAAAGGCTAGCCCATTGGGAAGGTGAACTTTTTGCCTCTATCATGGTGTAGCTCAGATTCTTTCAATATAGTCACTGGTGAGACTTGAAATAGGAGAGATTGAGAACCATTGTTCTGGATGTGAGAAATTACTTAATTTTATCATGTTAAAGAGTAGGAAATATTCTACAATAAATCTTAGGTATTAAAGTTTATCACAATTTCCATGGTCTGGCAGTCATATAGGTTCTTAGTATTCTCTCTACAGAGAGTACTTTTAGTACAGAAATTAATGTATAATAGAGGATTGAAATTGCTAATTTTGTTTGTAAAAGTTACCACATTGTTAGCCTGCCTATGCACGTTCTTGCTCAGAATTTATAGTGTAATGTGGATGGGGGAAGATACAGCCAAATAAGTTACTTTATATATGAGTCAATGCATAAGCCTTAGGTTCATAGTTAATTAGTTAAACTACTGAGTTGATTTGTATGTTGCCAAATCCATACAGACTCAAGGCAGCTACAGAAAATCTAACCAAAATATCAATAGTGGCAGCATAATAAAACATCCACATAAAGGACTTAATAATAAAACATCCACAATAAAAGTAGCCAATAAATATTTAGAGTAACATCTAACATTTAAAATGTCCATGATAAATGACATCTCCATCCAAGTTGATAGCAAGGGCTTTTCTGAACAGCTCCATTTTTACTGCTTTTTGGAAGGCCTGCACTTGTTAATTATTTTGTTACAGGTGTAAATAACTGGTTTTTGTCTTGTAAGTTGCTTTTTAGCCACAGTGCTTAGTTTTGACATTTTAAAAGACGTTTAACAAGCTGTGATGTTTTTAAAGGCAGTTGCATGAGAAGGGTGTATGGGACATGATATTCTGCATTCAATACCCCAACATTTATTGGGCTAATATAATTGGACAAGAGCTGTATCCCTAAATAGCACTGTCTAAAGTCACAAAGAGAAAGATGGACTAATGGTTTAACTCATATAAGACAGCAAGCTAATGTATCTAAACTGGGCCATTTTGGTTTCAAAGTTCCTCATTAGGCCTAAGGCATTTATACAGATGAATTTAATCAATAGGACATTGTTAAAGAATCTACTTTAAATCCTTTCACTGGCTTCTTATCTACTTCCTGATCTCCATTACAATCTCCTTGTTTTTCCTTCCAAACCATTCCAATAGTAGTTGTACTGTGACCATCTGAAGGTCTCCTGCTCTATCAGAATCTATTTTCTTCTGATAAAACTTGCACTTTTAAGAATTAATTTAGACAATATTTCCTATCAAGTCCACATCAGCTATGATCTTGGCCAAAACCCAGTTTAGGAATGCTATGTACATTTACTGAATGTTGATATACATAACAAAACACATGAACACAAATAATACAGGTCATTTTATTAAAACTGTACTGATCAACGAAATAAAAACATACTGAGATCTTAGTTGTGGACAGAAGACAAGACATGAAGACAGTGCACATTAGGATATCTCCTTCAGTCAGAGTGCCCAGATCATGAGAGAGTCTAAAAGGAGTGCTTATATACCCAACAATAGCCCAACCAGAATATATGCTTTCAGTAGTGCATGTCTGTAGAACATGTACTAATCAGAGCACATGATCGTGATGTGGCAATGTTTGTGGTAAATTTAAACACAAAGTGAACATGATTAACCCTGAACATCCATAGAAAAATGATTCTGCTTTGTGATAAACAGAACATACCGTCCTAAAGAGAACACTTAAGTTTAAACACTAGTCCCATCTAAGTGACTAGTGAGATGGGACTAGTGTTTTAAGGAGGAAAGACAGAAGCACAACTAAATTCTAAGGATGTAAGTTAGCAGAAAGAACTAGTAAAGAATTAAAAGAGATAAGGAATAAAATGTAAATATTATTTAAGTTGGATAGAATACAGTGTGCGTATTTGATAAAATCCATGTACAATTAACAAACTTAACAATCAGAGACTGTAAAAAACTGGAGGGAATTACGTGTCAACATTAGTTCCAGAGATAATAGGATAAGCTTGAGGTTTGAGCCTTCAGCACAAACCTGGTGGGCATTGACCACAGTAACTCTGTACCTTTACTGTCAGGCCTGTGGGCTACCAACCACGGGAAACAAAAGGAAAAGGTATCTGAATCTAAATCAAAAAAGCCGTAAAGAACAGAGAAAGTCGATGTAAGCCAACTAGAAAAAACAGAAGGTCATAGCTTTCTATATGAACAAAGGTAGATCATTGAACAGAAGAGGAATCAAAGCACCTATCAAAGATGGAAGGATTTAATGTAGGCCGGGAAAGTCACAGAGCTGTTTCAAACTGATCCAGTAATATCTGATGATTGAATATATATTGTATCATGAGAGGCTAAAATCAAGACAAACAGGTGAACATAGTCTTCATCAAAAACAGATAATTCATATCTCTAAAACCAGGAGCTTCTAACTACACAATCTCTAGTCTCATGTGATGAAGTTTAATTATATATAATAAAATAGTTGTATACTACTTCTATATTTGTTTCTGTCTCCAGTTTCTGCTACAAGTCCTCATTCCCCTCATGGAATTGGGTTCTATAGTACATTATAATGCAGTACATTATAGAGTGTATTGCATTCTATAAATACTGATAACACAAATAATATATGTAATATTTCCTAAGCTCCAGATGCAGCCAAACAGTAAAATATAATTAGTAAAAGTGTAAAATAAATATTCAACACCTTGTCATTAAATAGCTCTATTTAGTTAGGATTTGTAAATATTGTACACAATATCAATTCAATAGAATTTCATATTTTGAATTCATGACAGTTTTTTGGGAATGATGTTCCATTCCATTTGCCCCAACATGGTCAGTCTATATTTTTGTACTTTCAACAATTATAGTAGAGTATAATAACACTTCTAAATGTAGAAATTTAGAACATATATTTAATGAACAATGGCAGGCTTTTTTAGGGTCAAACTGTATAGAAAGTTTATAATCATAAGCACTATCTCCTTTTAATTTATGATTTAGTTCCTTTCTATCAACATCTGTAAATGTTAGGCTGCACGTTAGAAGATGTTCAGAATTTGTTAAATCTCACGTATTAAAGTTTATATATAAAAACATTGTCATACTTTCATAAAATGAATAGTAGGACAAATTATTCCAAACCTAAATCTTAAAGTTGGAACAGGCATACTGGCTGGGGATGATAGAGGTTGGAATCCAGCCTTATCTAGAATTTGCATCCCTGCACTAAAGTTCCTTTGGTATATAATCTTCTGAAAGCAATACTGTATACTTTATTTTCCTCTAAATTTATCCTTTCTTTCTCTAACAAACTATACATAACTCTTTCTACTTTCAAGTGGTCTAATACACCCTTTACTAATGACATTTTCTCTATAAAAGCTTTACTATTCTACTATTTCTTTTTGCCAAATAGTGAGCTTTGCTGTCTGTTCTTCTGTTTATTATAGAAGGATCAGTTGTATTTTGTCAGGATTATTTAGGAAGCCTTTACCAAAAATCCTACTTAATGAGAGTCTCTTTAAATCAGTAAAAATGTACCGTGTAGTACATGAGGAACTAGGGCTGTGCAGTGCTTTGGATTTGAAGGGAAAAGGGCGCTTCAGAGCACATGGGTGCTTCAGAGCACATGGGGTCATGAATTTAACAGCTAGTTGCAACACTTTAAAGCAGACTTTTATCAGGATTGGGTGGCTGCCTCCTATGGGGAAAAGAAAGAATTTGTTTTAAAGACAGGAGCCAGCAGGTGCTATGTTAGAAGCCTTATATGCTCTGAAGTATCTTTTTGCTTTCAGAGTTGAAGCACAGTATAATCTTACAGTGAGGGAAAAAATTATTTGATCCCCTGCTGATTTTGTACGTTTGCCCACTGACAAAGAAATGA